CCAATAGGTTTCCTTGTTCTCCTTGGTAATCCACCTACCCCTCACTCTTTCTCCCAGGCAACACCTGAGCTGCTCTCTGCTAGTAGAGATTAGTTTCCTTTTCTTCAAAAGGAAGTATACAGTATATACCATTTCCGTCGGGCTTCCCTCACGCAGCAGCATTATTTTCTGGTTCATCCATGGTGGAATGCATCCATAGTATATGCTTTTATATGGATAGATCGCAGTGCATTGATCCTTTCACTTTTGGATGGCCACTTAGATCGGTTCTCTTCTTTTAGCTGCTATGAACAACCTCATGTAGGTTTTTGTGTGGGCAGAAGTTTTCTTTCTTTGGGATAAATGTCCAGAAGTGTAACTGTTCTTCCAGTAAGTATATCTTCCCTGTGTAGCAAGCTGTTAAACAGCTTGTCAAAGTGGTTGTACCATTTTGCTTTCTCACTAGCAGTGTGTCAACGTTATACTTGCTCTATGTCTGACAAAACGATGTGATAACTAGTTATGAGTAGGTATTGAGATCTCTCGTGCTTTGGGTGTGGATTTTTCTGATAACTAATGATGTGAGTATATTTTAACTTGCTGCTTTCCCATTCTTATAGCTTCCTCTGGGTAATATCTTTTGAGATATATTGTCAAATTTTAAAAATTGAATTCCAACCTATAATCTGATCATATTTCGTCTCTTGTAAGACTGAAAAATAGGTTTTCCTTAGAACAAAAAGTGAATTGATGTCATTTGTAAGGCCAATGGAACATCATTCACTCAACAACATCTGTATCTATTTACTCTTGAAATGCAGTGTCTCATGGTAACAATCTGACCTTTTACACCTTAGATATTCTAAGATTGTACTCAAATTTTTCTCATGGCTAGCTTTTGGGTAAGAATGGATCTATGCTAAATCCAGTTGAACTTTATGTTCTCTGGGGAAGATAGAGTATTTTAGGTAACAAGGTTATATGAGTATGTGCAGGGCTAAAAAACAGCCACTTAAGGTGCATTGTGTGCGTTGCAGAAAATGCATCCTCTGGGAATTTTGAACACCACCAAGATTTTTCTGTATTTAAGAAAATATTCTGCAGTGGTAACTTTGAGTTGAAAGTTAAGTGAGGCATTTTCAGAGAAAATCACTTACTGTAAATGAAGGGACGTTTTTATTTCCTTTTCTGTTCATTACTACTTTAAGAGAAACTGCAACTTGAATTGTTTATCTAATTATAGATCTAGAAGGAACTGGTCTTTTATCTGACTGTACTTAATTAGAGATTTAGTCTTTTGGTTACAAGCAGGATATGGTGGTTATGGCCAATCAGGTGTTCATCCTCTGTAAATGTTTATCCTTTCATATCTCATTCAAACCAAAGGACACCCACTTCCATTGAGCCTATTCCAATTTCCAGCGATACCATATAGGGTTCCCATGACAATAAATCTTTTCAGGAAGAGGCACCTTCATTTTTCTCCCTTGGAGTAGCTGCTGGCTTTCAACCACCAACCTTGTGATTCATAGTCCAAAGCTTATCCCCAGCTACCACCAGGGTTCCTTGATACCACCTTTGAAAGAAACAAATCCCCTATCACAGTTGCTTTCAAATGGAAACGCTCCTGTTTAATGCAGAGATGTTCTGCTTCCATGGCTCAATGCTGCTGCTTCCTTCATTTTTTGGGGGGTCGGTTACTTTTTCTAGTATTTCATCAAAGGTGGCAGTGGTGGTTCAGTCATAGAATGCTCATCCCCCTCACGGCAGACCCCGGTTTAATTCCTAGCAAATATATTTCATCTGTAGCCTCTGTGATTTTTCTAGTGTAGGTCTATGTGTTGCTTTGCTACTCAATAGGTTTTAGTAGAGCTTTCAGTATATGAAGACTAGGAAGAAAGGCCTGGAAATCTAGTTCCAGAATTCTGCCAATGATAATATTATGGATCACAACAGACTTTATCCCAAACTGATTGTGGAGATGGTCCAGGACTAGGCAATGTGTGATTCCACTTTGTTTGAGTTACTGCCTTCTCAGTGGCAGCTAACAACCATATATAATATTTTATTAGTCCCAATGACAAATTGGCTATATATTTACTCTTCTTTGCTCAGCAATTCCCAACGAATGCCTTTACCATCACTTAGATACTCATATTGGAGTATGGAAAGTTGCATCTCATATGCACGAGTGAACATAAATTCAAGTCTATGCTTTTGAATTTACTAATTAGTATTCTGAATCCATGGAAAGGAAATAGGGATGCTACATAGGAATTCGACTCATGTGCTTTCTGACTTTTGTCTACAAACAGAATTCATGCTGGTGCAGCAAGATCTAGGGTAATGATGCAATGTGGCTGTGCCTTCTTCTCCCCTCCTGAATGGCGGCGTCTTCCCTTTTCCTTCCTTCCACTGGGCTCCAAGACGAGGGACAGTCCTGTTCTGGGGGCATTTCTGGGCTGGTAGCACAGAGATCGCCTGGGAACTTGTTAGAAATGCAAATTCTCTGGCCCCCTCCAGACCTACTGAATTGGAGGCTGAAAGAGGGGGGCCAGGGGTGGAGGGAGCAGCTATCTCTGTTTTAACAAGCCCTCCAGGTGATTCTGAAGTGTGCTGGAGTTTGAGAAGCACTTCACTCAGGGAGTGAAGGAAGTTGTGAAGATAGGCCTAGATAAAATTCCTTTCTTACAGCTTCTAGCTGACAGGTTCATTACCATATTGCTGTAGCAACAAATGCAAGGTAGGATTGGATAGGAAACCTTGTGTGAAATTAAGAGGCATGAATATTAACTGATCCCCATATTCTAGATCACTAAGATTTATATTAGGCAAAATGGATTTTCAGTTTCATACTTATGGCAAGGAAGAAGCATAGTGTCATATGGTTTTATATCTTGACAAGTGAGAGCCAGGCATATTCTTTAAACATCACTCTTTTTGGAATGTAGACAACTTCTGGTTGAATAGAATTATTCTTTAAGACCTTACCAAAATTATAGAGTAATGGCTTCAGGAGTTGCTTATGACCCTGAAAGGTTTCATTTGGCTTTGAATTTTCTGAATATGTCACAATAGCTTCATTTGCTTCCAACCTCTGTTCCACAAAGCCCAGTCCTGGGCGCCTCGTGGATATTAAATAAGCATTAAAAATTGGTTTACGAACTCTTGTTTAGCAATTATATATCGCAAAAAGAGCTATTTTAAATATGTATTCTCATTCTGCATGTACTCTTTTTCTCTAGCATACCATATACCCAAGACCCAGCACTTTTTGTATGCACCGAATTAAATTCGTTTTAGGGTTTGCATTTTATTGATATGTGCTAAGGATTAGATGCGCCCAGTTAAGCCCCCTTCCTAGCCAAATGACACACCCTGTCTCTGATATCAGTCTGAGAAAATCCTATATAGTGTACTTTATCCCCGGATTACCTTATCTAAGTATTACATGGGCATTTCACAAGATCGGGCTTGGCATGTGGTCATTTTCCATTAACTTATTAGGGACTGTGAAAGCATTCCTCCCCAGCCCCCCCGCGCCAGCCCTCAACTTTTTTTTTGACACCTTGCTAGTTTTGAATGCAAAACTGACTCTAAGGGTGGTTGTCTGATATTCACGCAGGAAGTTGATGGGGCTTCAGAAGCATCCACGTTAAGAAACTGTCCTGATGGATGTTTGAGGAAAAAATACTCTATTGCTACCTGATGTAGGCTCTGAACAAATGACTTCACCTCCTCACCCCTCACCTCCGCCACCCCACACACACCTGAGATTTTATTTTCCTAAGTTGTAAAAAGGGGAAGTTTGATCCATGATTACTAGGATTGTAAATAGCTTATGATGCTGAAACTGGAGAGGACATGATGAAACCTCCATAGCACAGCGCACTGCTGAGGTGCCAGAAATTGATGGATTTTTTTTAAATGTAGTTGTTGAAAGATTTAAATCAAAACAAAACAAGAAATGGATTCATTGTAATAAAACCAAAAGGCTTGGACTGAAAGAAAAAAAGGCTCACTACCATTAAATGAATTGTGACTTAGGGTGATCCTGCAGGACAGAGTAGAACTGTCCCTGTGAGTTCCCGAGATTGTAGCTCCTTAAGGAAGTCGAAAGCCTCCTCTTTCTCCTGTGGAACAGCTGATGGATTTGATCCACTGACCTTGTGGCTTGCATCCCAAGACTCTCATGTTAGAATAAGTAGAACTTCAATGCTATGGCGCCAATAGTAAGGAACCCTATGAGTCACTGCAAAGTTTAAGAGCCCTGATGGTATAATAGTGCAGAGTGCATCTGCTAACCTGAATCTTGGCAGTCTCAACCCCCTCAAAGCTCTGCAGTTAAAAGACGCGGCCATGTCCCATGTCACAGATCTGAGCCTTGGAACCCCTGGGAGGGACTTGTATTCTGTCTTCTAGCATCGCTCTAGTTGGAGTTGACTCTACAGACACACAATAGGAACACTAACAACATTCATCATTTAAGAAATTAGGTGAATGTCTGTCAGGAAGAAAATATTTTAGAAAAAATTTTGAACTCAGTTTTTTTCATCATATTGCTCATATACTTTATTCTTAACTCAAACGTGTGTGAAATACTAAAAAAAGAAACACAAACCTTTCAATCAGCAGTGTGTACTCTACAGAGCATACACCTCTTCCTAGCAGTGTAATCTCTTTGAAAGGACAGCTCTCTGCCCATTATATTCCTCTACCTTCACTCACTGCATTACATTTTGTGCAACTTAAAATTGTAGTCATAAAGTTATTTTGGGCATGCTTTTTCTAAGCCCTTGTAAGAATCAACAGGAGCATAATTTTAAGCTCCAGAAGTGCAAAATAAGCACAGGATCCTAGCTACCATAAATAAAATGCCAAAATTCCAACTTTGCAAAAACACACAATTACTGGCAATGGGGGACATGGGAAGGGGACATAAAGTGGGAACGTCAGAATTCAATTGGGTTTTTCTTCTTCAGATTTCTAAACTTTTCTCTCTGAACTTTTTTTCCTCTCAGAATTGGAATTCTGTGAAGCCCCTCACACTTTGTGTTCTGGCTACCAGACTGATATGCACAGCGTTTCCCGGCATGGCTACCAGCTAGAGATGGGCTCTGATGTGGACACGGAGACTGAAGGTGCAGCCTCACCTGACCACGCACTGAGAATGTGGATAAGGGGTATGAAATCGGAGCATAGTTCCTGTCTGTCCAGCCGGGCCAACTCTGCATTGTCCTTGACTGACACTGACCATGAAAGGAAGTCTGATGGGGAGAATGGTAATTAAATAACCTACCTATATTTTCAAGTGAAATGGAGCGAATGTACTTTGGCGCTTTTTCTTTGTCTTCCTTCTCTTAAGTCTATCCATCTTTCATTGAGTATGCAGAATGGGAAAGGCAAGTTAACTAGGGTCTCATGTACCAGGCATTAACTTAAGTATCTGGCATATTGATGTGTGTATTTATCATAATAGACAAAATAGATCTCATTTCTGGGAAAACCCCCAAGGGAAGTAATCACACATAGACAGCTATACTGTGCATGTCTTATTTATTACTCACCTTTTCTTTTCATCTTCATTTTCAAGTGCAAAACTAGTGGGATTTATTATAGTGTGTGCTCAGTTGCTATTTCAGCTTTGTATTCACATATGAACAATGAGATTAACAATTGTATATAGCACAGGTGCTCTGGTCATTCTTCCTTTCATTCAGATCAAACTCTCTAGTGTGCAGGCAGATCCAAAGTAGTCAGGTTAGGCTGAAATGATTTTTTTACTGAAGATGAATTAACATTAGCCATTTGCCAGAAAACAGGTTTTATCATGAACTTATAATTATATATTATTTTTCTACAATTTTTAAAAGAGGAAAAGTTTCATTTTTTCAATTATTAGGTGGATGAGTAAAGAGTTAATCTATTTTTGTTCTTATGTCTGGATTAAACTCTCATCAAAAGCATAATTTAACATATTACTCTATTCTCTCCATCATTCTGTTTGACCAAATTTCATAAATCCCCTTCACCATGGCCACAAGACCTATCCTGTTAGCAACCCAGTGGCTAACTAGTATTTTTCCAAGTAGCAGAAAGGTGTCCAACAGGTTTTCCCTCTCGCTTGCTTTCATTCTGTTCTCCTCTGCATCCTGAGCCCAGAAGGGACATGGGCCAAGAGATGCAGTTGTGAATGAGAGTGGCACACGAATTAAAATATCATTCCCCAAACTGACAGGATTCAATGTTTTGCTACATCACCAAGTACCCTTGGAATTTCTTGCTTTTGTTTGGTGTGTGTGTGTGTGTGTTGCTTTCTTTTGGCCAACGTGGTTCTAAGAGATGAAGTTTGGGAAAGAGAATAGAGCATATTTGATGTACTTAGGAGTGTGCATTCAATTAAATGGAAAATCATTGGGATAGGAATCAGGAAGCCAATGTCAATTGAGAAAAACATTGGCCAACAATGTGACAAGGGGTGGGAGGTGATCTGAATGGTCAATGCTTCTTTTCCCCTCATCTCAATCCTGACCTAGGAAGTTAGAGCAAGTCCACTGTGTTAAAACACCGAAGCTAAAGATGTTCCCACTTGGGTTTCGACCCACTGTAAGACCCTGACTATAGTGTTTTCCCCCTGAGAGGAGGGAAATGTTCTAGAATTAGATGTGACATGATTGCACAGCCCTGTGAATGTACTAAAAACCACCGAGTTTTACACTTAAAAAGGGAAACTGCCACACAGTGTGAATCAGGAACAATAGGGAATGAGTGACACGAGTTGAAAATTTAAGAATCCCAGATGGTTGGATGGTGGAAGAGATGACAAAATAATACTAATTTATAAATTCTCAAGGATTCATGAAGGAGGGTGGGGAGGGAGGGGGAAAATGAGGAGCTGATACCAAGGGCTCAAGTAGAAAGTAAATGTTTTGAAAATGATGATGGCAACACATGTACAAATGTGCTTGACACAATGGATGTATGTATGGATTGTGGTAAGCATTATATAAGCCCCCAATAAAATGATTAAAAATAAAATTTATAAAAAAGAACCCCAGATGGCTTGGACAAGGATTAATTAGTAAAATGTTTGATATTACAGGTTTTAAATTCTCTCCTGTTTGTTGTGACATGGAGGTTCAAGCTGGGTCTACTCAAGGCAAGTGCTTCCAAATATTTGATGACAAATTATGTTTACCTCACCCCATTCCTTACACCCATCCCACCCAATGGAACCTGGTCTCTTTGACAAGAAACACAGAAACTTGGTCAATGAACCTGCCAAAGATGAGTTATTGGTAGATTTCCTCTGGCAAACATCATGTGTGTTTGGTTTGATTCCCTCTGGCAAATTACGTGTGTGTATGGTGTTAAGGACCAGCTGCCGGGGATGGGGAGAATAGGCAGGTATTTAAGGTGGGATGAGTCAACACTTGGGTTTAATGTGGGAGCAAAGATTGAAATCAGGATGAGTTGGGTTTGGCCCCATGGTCTCCTAAATATCTGTTCCATGGCTGGAACTATCCTCTCAGCATAACAGTAGATGGCCTTTTCCTTATCTTCTAGATGCCCCCAGCTTAGCGTTCGAATCCATGTCCTCAGTTCCAAACGACACCTTCAAAGGCTAATTATTTTTGTTTGTTTTAAATCATTTTATTGGAGGCTCGTACAACCCTTATCACAGTCTATCCATCCATCCATTGTGTCAAACACATCATCGTTCTCAAAGCATTTTCTTTCTCCTTGAGTCCTTGGTATCAGCTCCTCATTTTTCCCCTCTCTACCCCCTCCCTCCCTCCCTCACGAACCCTTGATAATTTAGATATTTTTTGTCATATCTTACACTGTCCGATGTCTCCCTTCACCCACTTTTCTGTTGTCCATCCTCCAGGGAGGGGATTATATGTAGATCCTTGTGATCGGTTCCCCCTTTCTGCCCCACCTTCCCTTACCCTCCTAGTATTTCTACTCTCATTATTGTTCCTGAGGGTTTATCAGTCCTGGATGCCCTGTGTTTCCAGCTCTGATCTGTACCAGTGCACCTCCTCTGGTCTAGCCGGATCTGTATGGTAAAATTTGGATCTCGATAGTGAGGTGGGGTAGGGTATGGGGGGGTGATCATTAAAGAACTAGAGGAAAGTTGGGTGTTTCATCGGTGCTACACTGCACCCAGACAGGCTCCTCTCCTCCCTATGACCCTTCAGTAAGGGGATGTCCAGTTGCAAAGACTAATTCTTTTCCATAAGCCTGTACTTATACTGTGCTGCTTTGCTCTCTTCTATTTGTCATCACTGTGCCCGTTGGATTTCGCTCGTTAGCAGAGGGCACTGAAAGTAGCATTCACGAGTGCCTTTGATGACTAAGACTGTGCTCGTCCTTTCTCAGACATCCTTGTGGTGGGGAACTCACATCTGACGACAGGACAGTGACTCAACATTATGATGGGGACCTGAGGGAAAGTTGAGCAGGAGGAAGAGATATCAGTACAGTTTGATGTCTTTCTCAAACGACACATTACTCATTGCTTGCCTCACAAGAACAGTTGTCTTTCCTGAGCCATTGTACTCTGTTAGTGTGTCCTAACATTTGGATATGTTTGGCCTTTGGGAATAGCTGGCACTAATTCTTTGCATTGGCCTTCAGTCTACTCTGCTGTAAGCCTTGAGTGTGTAATACTATCTACTGAGGTAGAATTGGAGGATTCTAGGGCAAAGGCAATATATTCTTTGTTTTCCATATAGGCCATGCTTAATTTAGGAACTGGATAGGGAACCACAGATCAGATTGGGTTGCCAAGGAACACCTGTAGGCCAGCTTGCTAAATGCTAACCCTGAACTGCAAGCTACTACTGACCCAGCGTGCTCTTCTATGAATAATTTAACTCTTGAGAGACAGTGGTGCCTAGTGATTAAAATTAGTGTGCATGAGTGAAAGGTAATCTATGTTTACATCCCAGTCATGTGATTTTGGGAGAATCATTTAAATTTCCAATGCCTCATTTTCATTGTGTGTAAAGTAGGGATCATATTAGTAGCTACCTCTAGGTTTTTGTGATGATTGAATGGATATATATATATATATATATATATATATGCCATTGTTTAAAAATTATAAACCCAATATAGCTGTTCACTTTTATTAAGGAACAATATTTCATATTTTCCGAAATTATTTTCATATCTTCATCTCATTTCATTCTCATGAACACTCTGTAAAATAGATTTTTATTGTGCCCATTGTACATATGAGAAAGGTTAAAAGAAAAATTTAATAATAGCCATTTATTTAATGATCATTTTCTTGAATCGCTTACATATGTGATCTGTTGACTGGAACAAGCATCCTCAGCTCAGTTCAGAGTTGTGTCAGTCTTATTTTGATTCCTCTTATAAATTGTTAATAAGCAGTATGAAATTTGGCATCTTATTTATGATTTATGGGAAGCTTTCACCAGTGTGGACTCCAGCATTTTTATGGTTCTTCTAGAGGAGGTTTGTGTTGAGATGAGAGTGTAAACAAATTTGCCAAAAGCATGTTGATTAAAGGAAGCAACTTATTTTTAATGATCTAAGCTTGGTGTTTGCACTTGTATGCAAATGTTCCTCTTCATTTCCTACTGATCTTATCTGTTCATGAAAGCAGGCCTAGCAGTGGATCTGTTTCATTAATTGGTGTTGTATATATAGCTGTGTTTGAAAAAAAAGCCAAAACTGCTTAAAACATTTATGATTCATATCTCTCAATATCCCATGACTCCATGCCACCAATCCCTTCATCCCTTTGTGTCGAAAACATTTTATTCCATTTCTGTTATCTTATCTGTTCCAATTCTTAGAGTCTTGATGTGGCAGTGGGCAGAGTCTCATAGACCAGTTTGCGGGGTGATTTAAGCCCTAATATTTGTGCATATGGGAAGAAAGTGAGGGTGAGGGAATTTGCTAATTTGGGTGAGTTGTGCCTCCATGAACAACTCGGAGAAATTATCTTAAAGATGTTTTCAAATCTCCCCTGGACATGAGAATGTGACTAGGATTTTCTACTGACATCTTCAAAATCATGTCTGTAAGGACGTATTTCTCTCATTTCATTAATTGGTCAAGCTTTTCAAAATATTTTTTCTCATTTCCATAAAATCTATTTGGTTGGCCTTAATTGAATTTCAGTCTTCGACATGCTACCGCCCATGAAAAATTAAAATAAATAACCCTTCATTTCAGCATGGAAACACATGGACAGAGAGGCCTACGGCACAGGGAAAGGAGAACAGTTAGGTCACAGAGAGGGATCTAGAATTCTACACTGTCACGGCTATCAGAATACTGAGACACTTTGTTCCCATTCCCTCAGGTTTGTCTTAAGTAAATCCTTTGTCCTATGTAAATGGGTAAGGCCTGTTGTTAGTTGTAACCATCAAATCGGTCCCAATCCACAGTGACATTGTGTACCCAAGAGCAAAACACTCCCTGTTCCCGTGGCATCCTCACAATTGTGAGTATGATTGAACTCGTTGCAGCCACCCTGTCAATCCACCTCATGGAGAGCCCTCCTCTTTTTCACCCACCTTCCACTTCTCCATGTCCTTTTCCATCGTGTTTTGTAAAGCATTGAATGCTTATTACGTGCAGATCCACCCACGTTAGTTTTATCCCGATCCCTGCATACAGCCAATGCCTGGGTACTGAAGCATCCTGCTGTATTCATTTACCTCTTCACCACCCACATTGCACCTGCGACTTGCCTTCTGCTGTTGTTAGTTGTCATCAAGTCAATTCCAGCTAATGTTGACCCCCATGGATTTGGGAAGGCGACCTTTCCGAAGTAAATCACCAGACTGGTCTTTCAAGGTCCCTCTGGGTATTTATTATTGACCTGCCAAACCTTTGACTAATAGTGAAGTGCTTAATTTCTATTCATTGTGATGTAGTACTTGAGTTATACATTTTTTTAATCCACACAGTGGTTGGTAATAAGCATTAGAATGGAAGCTACTTTAAGGCATGACCTGGTTTGTTCACTGCTATAGCTTCATGGCTCAGTCCCTGGAACTGGAACACAACAGGCACTACATACATGATCAATGGGAATTTTTCTGAGGACCAAAATAAACACGAGAGATGCCATATCATTTCATGGCTCTCCTGGGATCTTGTGAAACAGATCCATGGATGGATATGTCACATTGAATCAGTTCTATAGTAAGGTAATCCATAGCTCTGTCACTGAAAGACGATCCAAGGAGGAACCCTTGGAAGAATTTGGCAGTCCCACTTGAGTATTAACAGCAGGGATGAGGGTATCTCTTAGGAGTGATATTTGGCTATGTTATAGGCTACAAAAAGGGCTATGTAAGCAGCTATATTTGTTGCCAAGCATTTGTTTTTCATATATGATGAAAAAGAAACCACTAGATTATAAGAAGTGAAAATAAAATTGTTCATCAGGAAGCTAATTTGAGTGAAATAAGTTGAGAAAAAGTATGCATAGCTTGTAGCGCAAATGGAATAAATAGCAAAGGATTTTATTGCAGTGTTAATGATGTCTCTGTTAAACCAGCATTGGTTGGGCACCTTTGTTTGGCTGATCTCTGTAGTAGAGGCTAGTGACAGAAGAAAGCGGACTACTCATGCACCATCTCCAAGCTCAATGCATTCAAAGTTCAGTGAGAGAGATTGATGTCCTATTAGTAAGGATTGTATATCGCCGGTAACAAACCAATTTGAACATAAACAAAAGCAACAACAATGACAACAACAAAGAAACAAATGTATTCTGACTATCTAGGAATACATCTTAAAAGCCAGGCAAGAGTGACTAGACCTCAGGGAAGGTCTAGTCAGAGCAGTTGGCAGGACCTGGTTCTGTCTACCTCGCCCTTTTAGCCTAGACACTGCAGATTGGCATTCTCGAACTTTCCATCCATGAGCTAGGCCTGAAAGCCCAAAGCGCTCCCTGGTTTATAGTTATTCTTTGGAGAAAAGAAGTGGAGAGTGATGGGATGTTTTTCAGCACCATTTCTAAATTCTAAGTCCGCACAATAATGTATAGGCCCATTGTTATTCAGGCCGAAATCTACTATTCTTCCCAACAGCTACAACCGGGGAGTGTTGGCAGCTATGACCAGGAGGTATGCGCCCTGTGGAGACCCACACATTTGAATC